ATTTGTATTCATTCCCTGTTAGTTTCTGTAAGTCAAAATTTTAAGGTGTTTCCATAATAAATTCTGTTATATCTGAAATTTAGTGTTAGTCTGAATAATTTAATTTCTAAAATCTGTTTTGCATTGCCTGTCTTATAACATCTTTACTTGGAACAAAAACCATGTGGTTTAAAAGTGAGCTAGAAGCTTTCAACAATGAAGAAAATATTGGATTCGCTAATCCTAAAAATATATTAAACCTGTCAGAAAAATCAGCTGTCAATAATCCAAGTATTAGCATCATTAAAAATTCATCTTTGCTGCATTACATTTATTTTGGTCCAAGTAGTTAAGGATTTTTTTAAATTTCAGAAAAACAGAAGTAATTGTTTTTTTAATATCACTTTATCTCTTGATTAATGGTGATACTGCACTAACTGATGAAACACATTGACAGATGTAAGGCCAGTATAAAAGTCGCAAGATCTATTATTTTTAAAATAAATGTTTGTATACAAGTAATTTGCAATAACACGATTTGTTTGGATTATGTTTATATATAAATTTGTCTGTTTTCATAGTAATAACTGATGTGGTTGAAGTTAATTTTTCATATAAATCTTTATTTTTTTATTTCGTGCTGAAGTTCTTTTTTAAAGTTATCAATTTCCTTTTTTAATTCTTGATGCTCTAATTAAAAAACAACGCTTAGCATTAAATTCAACATAATTTAATGGATCATTTTTTGAAAAAGTTGTATTATATTTACATTTAATAATATCAGTCTTTGAGCATTGTAGCATTGTAGCCAAGTTAAACGAAAAATATCGATTTTTAAACGATAATGTTCTTTCAGGAAAATCGTCTGAACATGTTTTCGATCTCTTGAAAATTCTATATGGTATAAGTTCAGTATTTACATTTTTTTTCCATTATAAATCTTTATAACTTTAACCGTTGAAATAATGTTTACGTTTTTACTTCCATTTCTGCGCGCGCATAAATTTTATATCGTATTTTTTGTCAAGAATGATTGAAATAATGACGTTGAAATAACGTTAAATAATCAACGCTTAAACTGTAACGTTGATTTGACGTTGAAATAACGTTAAATAACCAACGTTTAAACGGTAACGTTGATTAAACGTTGTGACATAGTTGAACAACGTTGAAACAACGCTTCAACCGAATTTCAACGTTGAAACAATGTAATAATGCCTTAAATCAATTAATTTTAGTACTTAAGGTATATTTTGAATAAACCTTCATGTGTCTACAACAATATTCATTTACTAAAAGTTGACGTGAAAAAGAACAAAGTTTGACTACTTTTTCATTTTCCGCCGTGGAATTGCCCATATATATATATATCAGGGGCTATTCTAGGCCGTTTTCAACAGACCATATATATATATCAGGGGCTATTCTAGACCGTTTTCAACAAACAACCGAATTTGGGCGCCGCCCAAATTAAAAATATTGCTTTTTCCGCTTATATTCGGAAATATTTCCGCTAAATTTCTCCGGGACAGAGGGGTACCACCGCCCATATTTTTTTCCTAGAAGAGCCACTATATATATATATATATATATATATATATATATATATATATATATATATATATATATATATATATATATATATATATATATATATATATATATATATATATATATATATGTATATATATATTTTATATATATATATATATATATATATATATATATATATATATATATATATATATATATATATATATATATATATATATATATATATATATGTATGTATATTAGGTATATTAAGCGCCACTACTTACACCTTTAAGTAGTGTCACTAAATATTAGTGATGTACCGATTGGACATTTTTGCCGATGCCGATGAATAGGAAAAGGCCGATACCGATGGATAAACTAATTATTAAAACTTTTGAAAATATAAAATCATACAACTTTAAATCATGTAAACTTATTTATGGAATAAGAAATTGTAAACAAATATTTAGACCTATATCAGAGCCAAAGCTTTAATTTAAAAGCTATTATAAAAACTTTGTTAGAATAATATAAAACTTTTAGTTTTTTTATCCATGAAAACTTTCTAAAAATAAATAAAATTTTAGAGGAACACTTTTTATTTTAATTTTGAAAAAAAATGGTATTACGATAAGCAGTTTACTTAGAAATGTAATCTCTTTATGAAAAGCAAATAGAAAAACCTTCATAAATGTATATATATGTATATATATATATATATATATATATATATATATATATATATATATATATATATATATATATATATATATATATATTTTTTTTTTTTTTTTTTTTTTTTTTTTTTTTTTTTGAAAATAAAATAAGAGACTTTAAAATAAAATACCAACCAAATAATAACTTTGAAATTCTAAAGAAATCACTAATAACAGTTGTAACAATGTTTAGTATTTGAAATTTTGTATACGAATATTGTAAAGTAAAAACATAAGCATTTCTCCTGTTTCTGCAGACAACCTATTTCGTCGTGAAGAATAAACTTGTTCACTTTCAACAGAAGATGGAGGGCATGATAAATACTTTTGAGCTATCGGAGCTAATTGCTTTAAGTTATTTTTATTAGCTCCCCACCATACTATAGGACTATCTTGTTGCATGATAATCTCTTGGCTCAAATAAATTAAAACTTCATTTTTCAATATTAAATAATGCTTGCTTTAGGGTTCTTGCAGAACTTCAGATAATGATGTGTTTTCGATTAAAGTGTTTTTATTTTTAATAAAACTTTTAAAGCATTTTGAAAAATCAAATTCTAGATTTCTTGTACTCGATAACAAACTGACCTCAGGTTGAAATTCTACATAATCTTTTTGTTGAAGACTTTTTGAGCAATCTACAAGCCATTTAATAATATTTTTAAAACAACTATCGGCTTCTTCATTTGGAAAAAAATTATTTTTATACCTTGGATCTAAAAATGTGGCTAAATTGAGATTTTTGTCATTGAGATATTTTTCAAATCTTTCATTTGCTGATATTTTACATTCTTTTAAAGTTGTCCCTAATCCTAAAAACAAGGAAGACTTCAGCTTGAACCAGCATGGTTTTTATAACTAAAACAGTTGGAATTATATCAGATGCAATTGCTTCACGCTCACTTAACAAATTTGTTATATCGTTAAACATTTTTAAAAGTCGCATTAATTTTTCTAAAATAATCCATTCATTGTTTTCCAGTGACTTTAGTTTTGAGTTGTCATTATCACAACGAAATGGGATCAAAGCACGCTTCTGTTCAAAAATTCTTTCAAACATAAAATATTGACTATTCCATCTTGTTGTAATGTCTTGCTTGAACCTATTTTCTGGCACTTGATAGTGAGTTTGATATTTTTGATAAGCTTCAAAAGAATATGGCGAATGATTAAAATGGGTTACTATGTTTTTACAAGTTGTTGATATATTTTTAATATATATCTGGGCAAATACAGCGTCATTCAACACAAGTTGTAGAGTGTGTAAAAAAACACGGCAAACTGTTGTAAACTGCCTCTCTTATACCAGCTACCATATTAGCTGCATTATCTCTAGCGACTAAATGTACCTTTGTAGTTGAAATAAGAAAGTCATTCATAGAACTTTGAATTGCTTCACTTATATTTTTGGCAGTATGTGATACATTGAGTTGACAAACTCGAAGAATTGCTGATTTTTGATGAAATTCTTTAGTTAACCAATGAGCTGTCAAGCTCAGAAATGAGCATTTTTCGTTGGTAGATGTCCATCCATCAGTTGTAAATGAAATGTATGAAGCATCATTTATTTCTTTTTGGACATTTTGCCTGACTTTGTTGTATATATTTTGAAAAACAGAGTTTTTAATGTATTTCCTACTTGGAATACAATAGTTAGGACATAAATGGTTTAACAATCTTTGAAATCCGATGTCTTCTACTATAGAAAAAGGTTGAATATCAACTGCAATCATTTCTGCAATAAATTTATCAATTAATTTAGACCTGTGATCATTAATGTCCCAGGGCTTTTTCCTCTCAAGTGTTTCAAACAAAGTTTGTTGAGACTGTTTTGAGCAACTTGCATCAGTTGACTTAATTTTCTTGAACATATTTTGTTCACTTTCTGCTTTCCTTTTGTTTTCTACTTTATTAAGTTTCAACTCTTTGCTTGCTATTTCTTTATGTTTTGAATTAATATGAGACAACATATTTGTTATTTTTTTTTCTTTATTACCTCTTGTAATCTTCAGTTTGCATGTGCTACATATTGCAATTGAAGCATCTTCAGTAGAAATAGTTAAATATTTCCACACCCAACTGCGTGATTTTATTGGAATACTAATTCCAAACAAAGCTGCCGCCATTCTGAATATATACTTAGTTCTGCAACTTTATTAACTTATTAATTAATTAATTTAGATATCTAAATAACAATCATATAGAAATAAAAAAAGCATTATTTGAATACATATAGATAAAAATGCTTAAATAGGTTACTTTTAAGTATAACAATAAAACAATATAAAATAAAATTATTCTAAAAACAACATTATAGTAATAAAAGTATAAATACATTCAGCTTATAAACATTATTTTAAGAATAAAAAACTTGCCTGTAAACAAAGTTAAAATAAACAATTTTTCAAAAAAAGTTGCATTAAAAATAATGCATAAAGTTTAGTTTATTTATTATTTAATTATTATTATAATGCAGGATAAAAATATTAAAACGTCATCGGTAATGAAAATCGGAAAATTCGGCCAATGCCGATACCGATACTGATTGTGCAAAAAGTGGCCGATTAAGCCGATGCCGATGCCGATTAATCGGTACATCACTACTAAATATACTTTTAAGTGGCGCTAATATAAAATATTAGTGCCACTTAAAGGTATTTCAGGCAGTATATATTTACATATTATTTTTGATATTAATTATTTTATATTTGTGTACTTCAACATATATTTACATAGAAACATTATTTCAATTAAGTTTGAATTTTGTAGATAATAACAACTATTATTAGTTTAAAGGTTACCAACAGTTGGAGCTGAGTGGTGGAATAAAGGTTACCAACAATTGAAGCTGAGTGGTGGAATAAAGTTTTAGGAGGTTTTTATGGCATTTTTGAATTTGTTTTTGGCATTTTTTATTACCTTACCCAAAAATAAATTTTTGTTGAAACGACTATTTTGTACAGTTATTTTATGTTTCGGAATTTTAATTATGGTAGTACTTGTTCTTAGGAAAAATAGTTTTTATTCAACCAATAAGCATTTAATAGTCAACCAACTGTGGTTTTTTAATAAATCAGACAAGCCATCAACAGAAGTCAAATTAACTTCAACAGTTAACAAAAGTAATGATTTTAAGAAAAACATTAATGGAGAACATATTCAAAATGCAGCGGGGTCAGCCCAATTTTTTATAAACAAATTAGATAGTTTAACTAATAAAAAAAAATCTAAACATTTTAGTCCATATCAACCAAGGCTGAGTAAAATGTTATCATATAGTGACGTCAATAAATCAGATAAACAAAAAATAAGAAAGAAACCATCTTCAAGCGTTTCTAACAATTCTGATAATAATACAACAATATCACAAATAAAGGAAGTGTTGCCTTGGCATACACGACCAGACAAGTTTGACCACTTAAATGAAAACTTTATATATAGCAATCTAAATGCTTTCCAAGTAAACAAAATTGAAACAGTTGGCTTGATTATTATTGTGTCCTCTGCGCCATCTAGGGTTGATCGAAGACTTGCAATTCGTCAAACTTGGTTTAAACAATGCAAATCTACTTTAAAGGTAAAATATAAATATGAAGTTTTTAAATTGGTTAAGTGTTAATTTGTTATATATGTATATATATATATATATATATATATATATATATATATATATATATATATATATATATATATATATATATATATATATATATATATATATATATATATATATATATATATATATATATAACAAAATGTTGTGGGGGGTATATAAATATATAAAATGTTATGTATATATATACATATATATATATATATATATATATATATATATATATATATATATATATATATATATATATATATATTTATGTTCCTCTACAACATTTTTAAGTTACGTTACGTCTCTAATTGGTTACAATAGATAACAGAGTTTACTTAAAAATAAATAATCTATAAAAGGCAATGTTTGTTTATTATGCTTTATTTTATTTTTAATGTACAGACGTTTAATTTCGATAGGTTACAATTTAACGAAAAATATAACCTAAGAGGTATAATAGCTGGAGAGAGAACGAAGCCCAAACCCGGTATAGTCTTATTTGTATAATTATTTCAGCGGTGAGTCAAAATGGCGCTTTGGCGAAAAAATGAAAAATTTTGAAATGTAATTTGTAAGCTTTGAAAGCTGTAATTGAAGTGAATTAACCTCTTGAAAGTTTATTAGATAGGTTTTTAACATTTCAATGTTAAAATTAGGGCTGTACCGAATTTCGGCTCCGGCTCCTGCTCCGGCCGAAATCCGGCCATTTTTACAAATCCGGCCCAAATCCGGCTCCGGCAAAATGTTAGGAAATCCGGCATAATTTTGGCCGGATTTCTGGATGTTTATTACATCTTTTTTACCCGTGATAACATGTATACATAATACTTAATTTTTGAACTTCATGTTTGTTTTGGTATCTGTATTTACATTTTTTTACAATTTAATAAGCTAAGCCTAATTTCAAACAAGAACGCAACAAAAAATTCTGAAGAGAAGACACACGATATTCTGCAATAATGCAGGTGTAAAGACTATGAAGTCAATCCTAATCAACTCATTAGATGAGCGTTTCAAAGGCATTGAGGAGAAACCTTTTTAGATTGAAAAAATAAAGAAAATCCAGCAAAACAATCCCGGCTGGATAATTCTTATACATTATCATCATTACAATGGCAATATATATAGATGAAATTATTCAGTCTACGCCCGCTTGTGGCACAGCACATGAACAACAATTACCAACAGGCATTGACACTCAGCTAAGCCAATATCTGGAAGAATCAGAAATATATAGACACGCTGATTCACTACAGTGGAGGAGTGACAACATCCCGGGAAAAAAAGTTCTGTAGAATTTCTCTAAATCTTTGAAACATATGGCCTATAGAAACTCTATAAAATTTATATAAAATGTCTATTAATTTCTATAGAAATTGCTATAAAACTTTTAAACAACAAAAATGATGTTTAATAGAAAACAACCCGACGGGCATTTGTTTTTAAAAGTTACGTTCTGAATGTGTTTTAAATGTCTTTTAAACGTCTTTTAAACATTAATGTTTAAAAGACGTTTAAAAGACATTTAAAATACATTTAGATCGTAACTTTTAAAAAGAAATGCCCGTCGGGAACTGTCACTTGGTGATCTAAATAGTCAACATTGTTGACCATTTTCAACACCAAGTAGGGATATACAGGATTTTGGTTCCTGTAGTTTTGCTTCAAAATCCGGCTTCGGCTCCGATTCCGGCCGGATCTGTTAGTAAAAATCCGGCAAATCCGGCTCCGGCCGGATTTGGAAAAATTAAATCCGGTACAGCCCTAGTTAAAATCAAATAAGAAATTAATTACAACAAAAATCACGATTAAGGTGAAGTTATTGTTTCTTGCACAATTATAGCTATAAATACCAAAGTTTTAGACAAACTTTACTTTCTGTTTGAACCTTATTTTTTGCTTGCCTGTTCAGCTCTAGGTTTGTTACATTCTTTAAGAATGTTCTTTCGACCAGGTACTTATTAAATCCCTCCAGGCTTTTATTTTGTGTCGAAGTATTTTTTGCTGAATTTAAAAACAAATTTGCTATATTATAAATTTAGAGATATACAATACCTTTTTGTAAATGCGACAAAAGTATTACCAATTCTTATTTAGACATTAATTCAATTCTAATCTAGAAATTTATTATCATTCGTTTAAAAGCACAATACTAAAAAAAAAACTAATTCTAAATATTGTTTACGAACTTTTTAAACTTCCGTGTTTTATTAGAAATGCTTCAATTGCTTATGACGCTTTGAAACAATATTATTGGATAATTTTTGTTAAAAGTGGAATGTGATGAGTTAATTTGAAATTATGATAATTGCGCCGTGTTTGTTAGAAAATTATGTTAAACTAAGACTGTTTCTTGAGAAATGACGTATTTTAACTTCGTTCTCCCTCCAGCTATTATATCTTTTTGATATAACTAAGTTTCGTTTCGTAATCTTTTTAGTTAATCTTTGTAACATTTTTACGTTATGTTATGTCTCAATTGGTCGCACTTTAAATATACATATATTTTAAAAGTGCAAGCAGTTGAGACGTAACCCTATTGTAACACAACAGTATGTCAAAAGTATACTTAAAATCAACGTATATTTTAAATATATTAAAATATAAGTAATATTTATGAAAATTTTCATGTCATAATTTAAGTATTGTTATTCATAAATATTGTCATTACTTTTGTTTTTTAAATATATTTGATTATTCTTACTTTTTTTAGTTTTGTTCTAATGCATTTAAGATCTATTCTTACTTCGAAACAATTTTTATACATCGTCAGTCGAGAACCAAAAGGCCGTATGTTCAATATTTCCTAAAGTTTTATTATTTTTGAGACCAAGTTTAGTTGACATACATTCCGCAGGATGACAAAAATATACTGATAATAAACAGAAAACACAAAATGTGGACATAAAGCCTCTTGGTTCTCAGCTGACGATTTTTCTTAATTTTGAGTCATCGAATTCCGAGTCAAATTTAATTGTAATTATATAATTACTTTCAACAATGTCAATCTCAGGATATAAGGTGTTAAAGTTATATTTACAATTAATTTTATTTGATATTTTATGTAATTAATTTTATGCAATTTTACTTTCAATGCGCTTTTTGAAATTAGTTTTTTAGCACACGCGCACATGCCTCTTTTTTAAAAAGAGGCAAACTATTAGATACCGATAATAAATTATCTTCACTTCGTAAGAAAAAGAAATGTTAATGAAACAATCAAATCAATCTCTACAGAAAATATGCACACATGAAGATTTGGAAAAGAAAGTCCAATTACAAATGAAATTGGTTTTTACTTGAAACTGTTTGCTTAAATTGGACAACAATCACTTATAAGTGGTTGTCAGTAAACGCGAAACTTAATCCTAACATATCTTAATAAAATTTTCTTATTATTTGCGGGTACCAGTGTACATAATGAATGGCTATTTTTGGAAGTATGTACATTTTTTGAGAAAATACGCAATTATTTCCCAACATCAAACTATGAAGAAAAAAAAAAAATTATTATTAAAAGTTTTATTAAAAATTAAAAAAGCATAGTTACATATAATCCTTTTTTGTGCGTTTTTTTCGTTACAAACTGGTATTCGGCCGAATAGTATGTATACATGTATATTAGGGGTATAATATTTTTACAAACTCAATGAGCATGTCATATTCTGATGAGCTTTTGTAAATAATTAATAGAATTTAATTTCATTATAATGTTTCTTGAAAAAAAACTCAAAAGCTGTTAATCACATAACAAATACGTCTAGAAATTCTTTACTGGTAATTTGAAGTAAAATATTTTCCGCTTCGTCCTAAAATAATAATTTATGTTCAAATAAGTAATATATATATATATATATATATATATATATATATATATATATATATATATATATATATATATATATATATATATCACGTAAATAAAGCTATATTGATAAAATCAACAAAGCATTAAAATGTTAAAAAAAACTATATTGATAAAACTACATTAACTAAAAAGGTTTGCATTTGCTATTATCGTGATTTGTTAATAAATATTCAAATACAAAGTATTTTCAGATTTGCAAAGACTTTTGATATCTTCTAAAACATTTACTGCTCGTTTGACACAAATGTTGGACTCTTGCGTATTTATAGGTGAAGGAATATCACATCAAACTTTGCGAATGTATTGATAGTCTTTGGATGATCTTTAATGACTTCTTTCATTTCCTTATCATTCATAGGGTTCATTTTCCAGCAACAAGCTTAACTACCATCTCAAGTTGTTGTCTGTCTGAAGGAATCAACTTATTGCTTTAACAAAATAATATGAAAGTTCAGGTGAATTGGTATTACCTTCAAAAAAGTCATCCAGACATAACTTTAATAATCGATCTAATATATGGTGTTGACAACCAACTTTCAGAGGTTTCGGAAAGCCAAAAAAGATTAATGACACACTTGTTTTCCCAGTGTTAAAATTTGCTAGATCATTTTTATAGATCCCCATAAATCATCACTGCCATTGGCTCATTACTACTTTCGTGTTCCACTCTGTATTTATTCAGAATTGAAGTTTATGGCATTGATGAAACGTTTCTAATTTTAATTTTCTTTAAAGGATGTATTTTTTAGGATCATCAGGCTTCATTGTAGTATATCCAACTCTCTAATTACTTAAAATAAAGACTTTTATCTTCAGAATGTAATCAAAGTCCTTCGTTATCCTCTTTCGTTATTACTAATAAACCATCAAAACTATAAGTACCTCGTTTTTTGATTTCTATTTGTCTTTTTTTAATCAACTTCTCTATGGCATTGATCTTTTTAATCAATTTCTCTATGGCATTGGTCTTTTTAATCAATTTCTCTTAGCATTGGTCTTTTAGCTCCTCATATTTAAAGAGTAATTAAATAATTTAAATTTAAAACATGACTCGGAGTTTCATGTTTTATGCCATCATCAGACATTACAAAGAACCGCAAAAACAAAAAACATAACCGTTTATCTTTTCAAGTAGAAGTTTAATCTAAAACTAACAATAAAAAGTAACTTAAAAATTGTAAACTTTCTCAATGTCACGTTTAACCTGTCAGAAAATACTTTCCAGCCATACAGAAAACCAGGTGACCACATTATACATTAACGTAAATTCTAACAACCTTCCTAGTATTATTAAATCCATACTAACCACGGTATCCAACCAAATGAGCAATATTTCATCTAACATAAAAGATTTCGATAGACAATACCATTTTACAACAGTGGGTATAGTTAAAAGATTACTTTCCAAAAAAACCTTGTCTTAACAAAACCAAAATCAAGATCACTAAACATTATTTGGTTTAACACCCCATTTTTCACAAAATGTAAGAATCAATATTACAAGAAATTTCCTAAAACTAATTGAAAAGCATAAGTTTTGCAAATACTTTAATAGGTATAACTTGAAAGTCAGTCTACCTAACATCACAAATATTATTTACTCACATAATGAAAAAATATTATCCAGTATTTCCAAAATAATCTCTTCAACATATAACTACCGGCAAACTTGACAATGTCCTCTGCAAGGTATGTCTCGGTAAAAACATAAATTAAATCTGCAACATTAGAACCACAGGATGTTTTTTTTTATATTGGTTTAACAGGGCACACCTTTAAAGATTGCTGCTACAATACTCCGTTCAATGCGAAAGTAAAGCGAATTCTACAGAACTTTCAAAGTAGAGGAACCTGTTGTACCTTTGACCACGTTGTACCTTTAGTCACTCCAGTCACATAAATCACATATTGCTTCACCAATAGTTTAAAATGAACAACAATCCGAATGAGCCCAAGTTGCACATTTTAAACATTGACTCCATTTCCTTTCTTGTGCACCCTTACTCCATAATCTTTTACAAACATAACATTCCCAGTCTTTAACACTTAAACTTTTAACCCTTTCTTTACCCTTTCCTAATGCACATTTATTTTCTGTTTTTTGTTTTTTTAACTTGTTTGATTTTTCAGAGGGTTCAAGTAGTGATTTTCTGTAATGTGACTTTGTTATTATTTTTGATTCTTGGTGGTAAATTGGTCTTTAGAACAGCTAAATTATTAGAAAAGCTGGGTGTTACTATATTAAAATCAATATTTTCTAAACATCCTGACGACAATGGTAATATGATGCTTGAATTAACTTGTGATTCAATTTTATCAGGCTCATGTAAATTTGCATTAGACCTTTTATCATTAATAAACTCGATGTCTGAAATTATATCCAGACACAAAGGATAAATTTCAGATGTGCGAAAGCCAGAACAGGCACAGAAGCAGTTTTAAAATAGGCTCTGGCAAATATACCTCCAAGTTGATCATTTGTTATATTTTGTCCAGGATGATCATGCAATCATGATCCACATTCTGCATTATAAAAAGTTTTAAGCGGTTTAAAAAAGCTTTGATCAAGTGGCTGCAACTTATGAGAAGTTTGAGGTGGTAAGGTCATAATAACTATTCCGTTTTTCTTTGCAAAATCTAACAAATTAATGCTTTTTGTATGTGTTTAGTGCCCATCTAAAATTAAAAGAATTTTATTTTCGATAGAAGCTCTAGTGTGCTTTGTAAAATGTTTTATATACTCTTTAAACATATCAGTTGTGATTCAGCCATTTTTTAGGCATCTTTTTATTTTTCCGGTTGGACCATGATCTATAAGCTCTAATTTCACGCTCTTTCTCTTAAAAATCATCATTCGTGGAATAAATTGTCCAGTCACGTTCATAGCACAAACAACAATTGTTGTAACACCCCGTTCACCACTAGTTACATAGGAAGCACAGTATTTTCTTTTTTTTGTTATAACTTTGTACAGTCTTAATGCCTGATTCATCGCAGTTAAAAATTTGATGAGTACTTTTTCATAAAAGTATCTATAATATTATTGAAATAAATGTTCGCAGAATTGCTGCGATTTGAAGCCAGCCTTTGAGGCTTTCTGATTGAAAGGTTTGAATGTCTCTTTAAAAATCGACTTACAAAATCTCTTCCTGCAACACAAATATATTTGTAAAATGGGTGAACTGTTTTGTACTTTTCGACAAAGGCAATTCGTTGAATGTCACTTATGGACAATTCATAATAAACTGGATTCATTTCTTTTATGTAGTTAACTAATTGTCATCTGGCAATACTTTTTTAAATGAACCAAGTGATCATTTATATATATTAATAAAGTCTAAATTCTTTAATTTTCTTTGAAGCCTTCTGTGTAAAGCATCTTTATTTACGTTAAATGTCAAAGCTGCTCTTCTCAATGACATTTATTTTAACTTTACGGAGTCGATTGCCAATAACATGTTTTGCTCAAAAAAGTTGCCACGAATAGTTTTTCTCTTATAGTTTCTAACCATATTTAATTTTCTATATATATATATATATATATATATATATATATATATATATATATATATATATATATAAATTACAAATTGGTAGAAAATCACTTAGCAAAATTGTTTCTCATTTAACACTGTGTTTCATCAATAAAGACTCATCAGAAATGCATTTCTGATGAGTCTTTATTGATTAAACACAGTGTTAAATGAGAAAAAATTTTGCTAAGTGATTTTCTACTAATTTGTAATTGCTCTGTTGTTTTGAATTGAGCACTCTTTTTGTAGAATACATTTTAAATTGTTTAAATATATATATATATATATATATATATATATATATATATATATATATATATATATATATATATATTTGTATATACACTGTTAAAAATATTAACCATTTTTGTTTACATATGTGGTTGAACGACTTAAACTTAAAAACATCTTAACGCCTATTAAATTTCGTAACAAAACTGTCAAAAAATCTTGCAGCGCGCTGCAGCGACTTGTGCAAGTATATAAACAAAAATGGTTAATATTTTTAACAGTGTATATATATAATTTTATATATATATATATTTTAAACGTTAATTTACGTTTTTGATTTGTAATTAATAGCTGCTGATTGCCGAAAGGCACGAAACTTTAAGTACTATTAAAATGTTGTTTTTCTTCAAAAAATATATATATATATATATACAGGGCCACCGAGAGAGGGGGGGGGGTCACCGGGATAGTTTGTGTGGCAGATATCCAAGGGGTCCCGGGTGGCAGATATCCAAGGGGCACTAAATGAAATTGAGCTACCTTTGAAAAAAAAAAAAAAAAGGTCCTTCATATATTATATAAGGAAAATTTGATAAATAAGGGCGCCAATCAGGATTGCTGTCCCAGGCGGCGTGACACATTTATATATATATATATATATATATATATATATATATATATATATATATATATATATACAGGCGGCCCTGTATATATTTATATATATATATATATATATATATATATATATATATATATATATATATATATATATATATAAAATCTCTTACCTCTTATGTAAAATATTAACATCAGGCAAATATAATAAATATAAGTAAACAAAATATAAAGCATTATTATATAGCAAATACTAAAATATTAAGTATATAAATCTACAGTATGTAAACAATAATATTACTCTAATATTTTTTGTTATTTTTATTGTTTTAATGTTAAACATTAAATAAACATGGTTGATATCGGCAAAACAAAAACGTCTCGTTTTGTTGATTAATTAGTTTGGACAGCTGTAGCAACATTATAATCAGTTTCATTTTATTACTTAATTTCTGCACAGCTATAGGGAATTAAATGCATGAAAATAGTTGATCAATTCTGTTAATACATTTTTAATAAAAATGCCAAGGAACAAAGTTGGTGTGTTTCTCAAGAAGAT